CCAGAAAATACCTTGAAGAGTGTTTTCCAACTTGGTTCCATTCTCCCTGTCACTTTCAGGTACCAATCAAACATAGGTTTGGTCTTTTCACATAGTCCCATATTTCTTGGAGGCTTTGCTCATTCCTTTTCATTCTTTTTTCTCTAATCTTGTCTTCATGGTTTATTTCATTATGTTGATCTTCAATCTCTGATATCCTTTCTTCCGCTTGATCCATTTGACTATTGATACTTGTGTATGCTTCACAAAGTTCTCGTGCTGTGTTTTTCAGTTCCATCAGGTCATTTATGCTCTTCTCTAAACTGGTTATTCTAGTTATCAATTCCTCTAACCTTCTGTCAAGGTTCTTAGCTTCCTTGCATTGGGTTAGAACATGCTACTTTAGCTCGGAGAAGTTTATTATTACCCACCTTCTGAAGCCTACTTCTGTCAATTTGTCAATCTCATTCTCTGTCCAGTTTTGTTCCCTTGCTGGCGAGGAGTTGTGATCCTTTGGAGGAAGAGAGGCATTCTGGTTTTTGGAATTTTCAGCCTTTTTGCACTGGTTTTTCCTCATCTTCATGGATTTATCTACCTTTGGTCTTTGATGTTGGTGACCTTAGAATGGGGTTTTTGTGTGGACGTCCTTTTTGTTGATGTTAATGCTATTTCTTTCTGTTTGTTAGTTTTCCTTCTAATAGTCAGGCAGGCCCCTCTCCTGCAGGTCTGCTGGAATTTGCTGGAGGTACATTCCAGATGCTGTTTGCCTAGGTATCCCCAGCGGAGGCTGCAGAACAGCAAAGATTGCTGCCTGCTCCTTCCTCTGGAAGCTTCATCCCAGAGGGGCATTTGCCAGATGCTGGCCAGATGTCTCCTGTATGAGGTGTTTGTTGACACCTGCTTGGAGGTATCTCCCAGTCAGGAGGCACTGGGGTCAGCGACACACTTGAGGAGGCAGTCTGTCCCTTAGCAGAGTTCAAGCACTGTGCTGGGAGATCTGTTGCTCTCTTCAGAGCCAGCAGGCAGTAATGTTTATGTCTGCTGAAGCTGTACCCACAGCCGCCCCTTTGCTCAGGTGCTCTGTCCTAGGGAGATGGGAGTTTTATCTATTAGTCCCTGACTGGGGTTGCTGCCTTTCTTTCAAGATACCCTGCCCACAGATGAGGAATCTGGAGGCAGTCTGGCTACAGCAGCTTTGCGAGCTGCGGTGGGCTCCACCGAGTTCGAACTTTGAGGCGGCTTTGTTTACGCTGTGAGGGGAAAATCGCCTATGCAAGCCTCAGTAATGGCAGATGCCCCTCCCCCCACCAAGCTCGAACTTCCCAGGTCAACTTCAAACTGCTGTGCTTGCAGCGAGAATTTGAAGCCAGTGGATCTTAGCTTGCTGGGCTCCATGGGGGTGGAATCCACTGAGCTAGAAAACTTGGCTCCCTGGCTTCAGCCCCCTTTCCAGGGGAGTGAGTGGTTCTGTCTCACTGGTGTTCCAGGGGCCACTGGGATATGAAAAAAAAAAACTCCTGCAGCTAGCTTGGTGTCTGCCCAAACGTCCACCCAGTTTTGTGCTTGAAACCCAGGGCCGGCCGGGCGCGGTGGCTCAAGCCTGTAATCCCAGCGCTTGGACCGAGTGGGCGGATCATGAGGTCAGGAGATCGAAACCATCCTGGCTACACAGTGAAAAACCCGTCTCTACAAAAATACAAAAAAAAAAAATTAGCCGGGCGAGGTGGCGGCGCCTGTAATCCCAGCTACTCGGAGGCTGAGCGAGAGAATGGCGTAAACCCGGGAGGCGGAGCTTGCAGTGAGCCGAGATCGCGCCACTGGCACTCCAGCCTGGGTGACAGAGTGAGACTCCGTCTCAAAAAAAAAAAAAAAAAAAAAAAAAAGAAAAAAGGAAACAGGGCCCTAGTGGTGTAGGCACCCAAGGGAATCTCCTGGTCTGTGGGTTGTAAAGACCGTGGCAAAAGCACAGTGTCTTGGCTGGAATGCACCGTTCCTCATGGCACAGTTCCTCACGGCTTTCCTTGGCTAAGGGAGGGAGTTCCTTGACCCCTTGCACTTCCTGGGTGAGGGGATGCCCCACCTTCTTTCAGCTCGCCCTTTCTGTGCTGCACCCACTATCTAACTAGTCCCAATGAGATGAGCTGGGTACCTCTTTTGAAAATACAGAAATCATCTGCCTTCTGCATTGATCTTGCTGGGAGCTGCAGACTGGAGCTGTTCCTATTCAGCCATCTTATCAGCCAACCCTGCCCCCTTAACTTGGATTTTTAATGCCTGGGAATTCTTCAGAGAGGGGAGAAAGAGAGCCAACCATCCTTGAATAGGGAAACTGGAGACTTGAGTTCTAAGGTCACCCTTCTTTTTTGTGTGTGACTTTGGGTAAGACACTTTTCCTCACTAGGTTTTAGTTGCCTCCTTTGTAAACTGAGGACATTTGGTTCCATCATTTCTAAGGCTCTTCCCCATTATTCTAACATGTATGTGTCTGTATGTGGTTCTATCAGTTGGAAGTAGAGCAAAAGAAAGCCTAGGGACTTTTTGTTTTCTTTTTTTGGGTTTTTTTTTTTTTTTTTTTTTTTGGTGATTGGCTAGGATGTCCAATTCTTGAATGTGGTCAGTCCTGAAAACATCTTATCTTAGTTTATCCTGGAAGGTTGATGAAACTGGACTATGCTTGTCAACTGCTACCCTAGCAGATACAGATGATTCCATTGATGAGAATTCTATGTGGCCAAAATAAGTTGGGTTGATCATTCCTGCCGCTGCAGACTTACATAGGATAAAACCTTAAAACCTTTGATGATTGTAACATACAGTAATTTCAGATTTTTTGAGGTGTTACATATTTACCTAATATTCATAATGAAAAATGTAATTCAATGAATAAACCCAGAGTTTTTAAAAAATTGTTTCTCATGTTTAACATCTTTAGAGAAGGGGCTGTTTTATAAAAATAAAAGTTTATAGAAAGAGAACTGTTGTGGTGCTAAAGAATGAGAATATTTCTCATCTGAAGCAATCATTATGATCTCCCTGCTAGTCATGAACTCAGTCTTTGGGCCAGGGCTTTATTTAAAATGTGAAATACTTAGCAGAAAATATTTCATGAGAAATTTGAAGTGTTCAGTACTCAATTGTAAGAGAGCAGAAAGGAGATCATTCTCTCTTTGTTACTGGTGACGGAATCTCTATTCAAAGTGAAACACTTAGTGAAGGCTTAGTGAAAACTCTGGACTTGTGTTAAATGCACAGAGCACAACTTACCTCTTAACAATTAATACATACACAACACACAGGTTGTTCAGTGCACAAGAACACTAGTGGAGATGGCAAATGAAGGCTGAAATCCACAGTCCTTCCACCATTCACCAAGCCATGCACCTTTGCAGGGGGATGTGTCCGTGGAGAGGAGGCCTTTTTCCAATTCAGATAAAGGCACCGTATGTCATTAGGCGATAAAGATGCCTTTGTCAAAAACCGATTGAAGCCAGCCACAGTGGCTCATGCCTGTAATCCCAGTGCTTTGCAAAGATTACATGAGGTCAGGAGTTTGAGACTCGCCTGAGCAACCATAGCAAGTCACTGTCTCTATGAAAAATTAAAAATTAGCTGGTAATAGTGGCGCATACCTACAGACCTACTTACTCGAGAAGCTGAGGTGGGAAGACTGCTGGAGCCCAGGAGTCAGAGGCTGCAGTGAGCCGTGATCGCCCCACTACACTCCAGCCTGGGTGACAGAAAGAGACCCTGTCTCCAAAAAAAATAAAAATAAAAAGAAATATGAAAAAATAAAAAAGAATAATGTAAATTCTTATTTTAAACCACAACAGTGTGAATTATAAAAATTGCCCAAACAACAAAGTTGGTCCAGGTAAGAGAAACAGATAGTAGAGATTTCATCAGAAAATTACCTGGATGCAACAAAAAAAATTTTAAAAAAATTAAAAAGATTGTTTCTGAATACTAGAGAGTCAAAAGACAAGCTAAGGATATGAAGAGGAAGATTCTGAAAGAAGGAAACAAATAATTTGGCAAAGTCCTGCTTTAGCCCTTGAGGCAATAATTAAATTTGCAGACAGGCGCCCACATTATGTGGCCCAGGAGGTTATCAATTTGGATATCATACATTCTGTTTCTGAGAGAGACCAATGACACATAAACAAACCTATCCTCAGGGATTGTTCTAAAAAGCAACTTTCAGGCATGTCATTGGGTCAGTACATCCCACATCTGCTACACAAAGAGAATTCAGATTTACAACATGAGCATATGAGGCTGAATCACCAAAGAGAAATAACTTTTTATTCGACCTAGCTTAGATTTTGTTATTTTCATCATTTCCCAAGTCCATGGCAACTGATAATCTAGGAATAACATTATTCCTAGTTTCCTAGCTAACTCAACATTAAAAAGAGAACCAGTGTCCATGGCCATTCTGCAGAATGTATAGCACAGATCATTAAAGGTCAGAGTACTGTCTAATTATTATAATCTTATGTTTAGAAAGTTTTCAAATAAAATAATTCTAATTCACTTTTTCATTTAAAAATTTGTAGGTATTCTTCAGTAAGTAACTTACCAATTTAAGAAAAATCTTGTTAAATAAAAAGCATAGGATAACGTTGAAATAACCTTTTCTGACTTAATTTGAATGAAAAGTCTGATTACTTTTAAGCCATTACACAGCAGATCCATATTCTCCCTATGTTTATATCCTTCTAAACAAGCTGAAAATTCAGATCACACAGTCAGCTAGCTCCCCATTTGCATTCTTGATTGGCATGATGAGAGCTGCATCATAGTTTGTGAATATCATGTATTACATGAGACCAAAGAGGAATCTACCCAAACCTGCAGGATGTGGTAGGCAATCAAGCGGCATAAAGGAGATGAATTGCAAGTCCTTTGAGAACGGAATCATTATGAGCTTAACAAGCATCATTCTCAGCTATATCTGTTTTAGTGGTGTTAGTATGATATTCATGGTTGCATATGAGCTGTTGCGATGGCTTTAGACTTACCGAGATGATAAATATTTTAGAGTGACATCTGAATAATCACGAGGATGTGTTACGGTGCTCTTTATTCAATCGTCCATCTCCTGTGCATGGACAAAGAAGGGGTATATTTTTTAGCTAAGCAAAGGGTAGAAAGAAAAATCAACATAATCAAATGCAAAGAGAGTCAATGAAATTATAGAATGTCAGAGCTGAAGAGAACTTTAAATATCAGCCAGTTTATTGTTTCTGCAAATATTCTACCCAAGTGCTCCTATGGTAAAGAAAGGGTATTATGTATCCCCAGCAGCCTGGGAGTGTAGTCCTCAGAGACCAGAAACACATTTGAAACATTTATCGAAACGCCCTACTTTATTCTAAAATGTACTTAACCTCTAAATCTCATTTTCCTCATCTGGAAGATAGAGATTATAATAGTGTTTACCACATGAGCTGGATTTTAAGACTAAGGGAAACATGTGTACATAGTACCAGCCATATACTAAGGGCTAAATTAAGAGTCATTATTATTATTTACAATAAAGAAAAAACTAACTGTGTTTGCCTCTTGTGAAAAATAAGCAGGACAGGGGTGGGACATGGAGATTGGTTAGAAATACTGGCAAGAGTAGATAGTGATGGATCCAGAACCTGGGACTTTACTCATACAAGGCCCATACAAGATTACAGTGAGAAGTGACCTGGGATGTAAGTTATGAAGCAACTTAAGCTGAGGCACAGGCACCCCTAGAAATACACTGGAAATGACTTGACACCATAGGATAAACATAGAGAACCTCCTGGATCAGCAATTTTATTAGATACTGAGGGAGAGGAAATGGTTATCAAAATAAGCACATACGTATTATAGAATAGAATACATATTTTTGCATTAATCTTTTCCTTTCCTTTTCTTTTTTTTTTTTTTTGAGAGGGAGTCTTGTTCTGTCACCCAGGCTGGAGTGCAGTGGCGTGATGTCGGCTCACTGCAACCTCCGCCTCCCGGGTTCACGCCATTCTCCTGCCTCAGCCTCCCAAGTAGCTGGGACTACAGGCACCTGCTACCATGCCCGGCTAGTTTTTTGTATTTGTAGTAGAGACGGGGTTTCACCGTGTTAGCCAGGATGGTCTTCATCTCCTGACCTCGTGATCCGCCCACTTCGGCCTCCCAAAGTGCTGGGATTACAGGCGTGAGCCACCACACCCGGCTTTTGTATTAATCTTTAAGTCAAAACATGAGTCTTCAAAGAAATGCCTCACCCCTTACCCTTACGAGTTGAGTTTATAGTGCTCAGCTGTTAGGGATACTTCTGTTGGGAAGTAGAAAATGCACAGAAGATCATTCACAAAATCATTATATTTCTCTCTTATTTCTTGTAGGCTCATTTAGAGAAAAAAAAAAAAAAAAGCAGCCCTCGACTATAAGTTCCCTGAAGCATGAATCCAATTGTTTTTCTTTAAAGTTTTGTTTTCAGCTCTTAGCTCAGTATTTAGAACATAGTGAAATGGTTGGATAATGGATGGCTACATGGTTGAGGAGAATGATGGGAGAATGAAGTGATTCATTTTGCTTCTTCTTTCCTGTATGTAGAATCTCGGTAACAGTACTAAATTGATTCACACAAAAGTCAAGAAACTCGGGAAGCTCTCATCTGATCTGGACCTCAGTCCAGGCCATAAAAGAAATGTGTTTAGTTTGCCAAACGAGAGGCAAGAAAGGGGTATATACATGTACATGCAAGTATGTGAGAAAATTGGTGCATATATGTATTACTGAGATTCTTTATTAAGACTAAACATCTATCTTCCTTCAATGTTGGCAGCCATCTGACCTTATGCAAGCTACTTAATTTTTGTGAGCCTCAGTTTCCTCATTTGGGATAATACCTGTCCTGCAGATTATATTAACTTTGCAGTGTTGTTTTGAGAATGAAAATCAAAATTAGATAATGTATGTGAAGCAATATAGATATATCCTATAAAAAGCTACACAAGTGCTAGAGAAAGCATCATCATACATACGTACTATGTAGTAGCAAAATTAACAGCAATAAGGTATACTGATAAACCATTTATCTCTGATTCGTAGTTACTAATTGAAGTCAAAAAGATTACATTTCAAGAAGAAAATGTCATGCTCGTCTACTTATTCACATACCTTGGAATGTAGTCTCAAACATCTAAGATTCCATGAAAGTGGGGAGGCTGATTTCCTCTTTGCACTTGTATCTGTGCCACCCCCACAAGGAGCCAGAAGACGTTGACAAGACTGCCACTCTATAGGAGGCAAGAGCCCAAGCCAGGGTTCTCACTACAGACTGACACCAGCAGCTTGTTAATTACATATTTCCATTAATGGGATGAATTCCATTGTCTTTCTAGATGATAATCTCCCTTTCAATGCGTAGATGTCTTATTTTGTTCCACACACCTTAGCAACCCAGCTACTGTGTTCTGACATTTCCATTTCCTTACTAGTCTTGAAGCTATAAAAAAAAAAAAAAAGGAAAAAGGTTGTTTTTGAACAACATGCATCTTTCTACACTTGATTTTTCCCCTAAGTTTTTACAATCAAAAAATGTTTAAAGAAATACATTGACTGGAAACATATAAGGGCAGCATAACTTTTATGTGGCAGCTTACCTTTTAAAGCCTCATCACATCAGAATAGGATAATCTTCTGTCTTTGGAGCACAAATTAAAGGATGATCTTGCAAATATACCCAGAGTTTACTTTATATGCGTTCTTGGTCAAAGAGTTTGCATTTGGTTAGGTAAAATTCTCCAGAAGGACATGATTACATACTCAAAGAGTTCTTTTCTATATAGAAAAGTACATGAGATGGCAGTCACAAAAACCAAACTCTAGGGAGAAACCAATGAGAATGGGTATTTGAGAAAATAAAGATTTTCTTATTTTTTTCAGACTCAGTAACTACAAAATTATGCCTGATAGTCTAAAACATCTTATTAGAATGTGGCATATAACATATTTCCCCTACAATTCTTTTGCAGAAAGGTAAGTTTTACAACTCTAGGAGAGAAAGTGACAAAACGCCCCAGGCATGAAACTGAATTTGAAATAATAGCTATATAAATGAAAGGAAAATGCTTATCTTTGGGAGAACCAGAGAAGAGGTAGAGATGAAGCCAAGGTTGAGGCAAAAGAATGTTGAGCATGTGAGGGGGCAGCCATAATGCCAAACAGACATCAATACTTAAAAGTTAGAATCCTGTTTTTAACTTGGATTTCAGAATGGATAGGGAGTAGGACGGAATACAGTAGTAGTATAGTCCTGAAACATTATGAGTTCTTGATTTAAAGCAAAGGAGTTGTGAGTCACAGATTACTAATTTTCCTCAGACATTACTTCAGCAAGGTGATTAATCTTTAACATTTCATTGAGTTTACTCTATATTCACTGAACTACTCTTTACAGTGAATACCATTCACATATCTGAATAATGCTGTAGACTGTGTTGCCCCATCCACTTGCACATACAAAACACTCCTGTACCAGAATGTGCACATACTTTCCAAAAAGAGTAAGAGGAAAAGCAAAGTTACTGTATTAGTTTTCTATTGCTGAGTAACAATTTATCACAAACTTAATGGCTTAAAGTAACATCCACATATTATTAATACCTCATAGTTCACCTAGGTCAGGAGTCCAGGTATGGTTTAGCTAACTTCTTTATTCAGAGTCTCACAAGGCAGAAATAAGGTGTTAGCAGAGACTGTGATCTCATTTGAGGCTCTAGGTCCTCTTCCAAATTTACTAGATATTAGAGAATTCAGTTCCTTATGGTTGTAGGTGAGACCCTCTGATCCTACAGGCTACCTTCTATTTCCTGCCATGTGGTCCTCTTCACAAGAAGACAGTTTACTTTCTCTAAGCAGCAGAAAAACAATTCTCTGGCTTCAGTCCTCCCATTCTGGCCAACTGCGGTGGTTCATTTCTGTAATTTCAGTACTTTGACAGGCAGAGGTGGGAGGATAGCCTGAGGCACCTACTTTAAGACCAGCTTGGGCAGCATAGCAAGTCCCTGTCTCTCTAAAAAAAAAAAAAGAAAAAAAAAATAGTCGGACATGGTGGTGCACACCTGTGCTCCCAGCTACTCAGGGAGCTGAAGTGGGAGGATTGCCTGAGCCCAGGACGTTGAGGTTGCAGTGAGCCATGATCATGCCACTACACTGCAGCCTGAGTGACAGAGCAAGACCCTGTCTCAAAAAAACAAAGGAAATTCCTAGTTTAATAGGAAAATTACCCTTCCTTTCCAGGGAGGTCTGACATCTTCCTTATTTTTTTAGTTTTGTATTTTCATTATTATTATCATTTTTGAGACAGAGTCTCACTGTCACCCAGGCTGGGGTACAAGGGTGTGATCACAGCTCACTGCAGCCTCAACTTTCTGAGCTCAGGTGATCCTCCTCCCTCAGCCTCCCAAGAAGCTGGAACCACAGGCATGTGACACCACATCCGGCTAATATTTATTTTTATTTTTATTAGAGACAAAGTCTTTGTTTGTTTTCCAGGCTGATCTCGAACTCCTGGCCTTAAGCAATCCTTCCACCTTGGCCTCCCAAAGTGCTGGGATTACAGGCATGAACCACCATGCCTGGCCCTGGGGACCTTCTTCAAAGGGCTCATCTGATTAAGTCAGGCTCCCCCCAAGAATAATCTCCTTTTAGATTAATTCAAAGTCAGATGATTTGAGACTTTAATAACATCTGCAAAATATCTTCACCTTTGTCATAGAATACAATCTAATTACAGGAGTGAAAACCCCTCATGTTCACAAGTTCTGTGCACATTGAAGGGCAGATTTCACAGTGTGTGCCCACCAGGAGGCAAGATTCTTGGGGGACATCTTAGAATTCTGCCTATCATAGCTAATTAAATGGAAAATTTTCTTTGTCTCCACTTTTTCTTTGCTTATACTAAATGATTCATTAAAAAAAAACAAACCCTTTTTTGGGGTAAAGTCTATAATGAAAACAGATATTTTGAGAATTTCCTATGAACTTTTATTTTTAATAAAGTTTTAAAACCATTCCCAACGCTATTTGGTCCCATACCACTCCCTCTCTAGAAACAAGCTTACAAGCCTTAGGTCTCCAAGCCACAAGCAAAGAGGCAGTTTTGCAAACACATCTAGAATTGCTTTGTATGGCCTTCCTTTGTCAAGAAGACTGCATTTGTCCAGATGAAATTATCCAGGAGGACTTGCTTTCATACCTCACAGAGGTCATTAGTATTTTTTTTTTTGAAAGATAGGGTCTTCCTCTTTCACCCAGACTGGAGTACAATGTCATAATCATAGCTCATTGTGGCCTTTATCTCCTGGGCTCAAGTGTTCCTCCTGCCTTAGCCAATAAAGCAGGTCAGACAATAGGTATGCACTACCATGCGCGGCTTTTTTTTTTTTTTTTAAAGAGAAAGAGTCTTGTTATGTTGCCCAAGTAGATGTCAAATTCCTGGCCTCAATCTATCCTCCCTTCTTGGCCTCCCAAAGCACTAGGATTACACGTGTGAGCCACCATGCTCAGCCAAGGGTAATTTCTACAGAGAAACATAAAAAATGGCAGCCATTAGGCCGGGCACAGTGGCTCACGCCTGTAATCCCAGTACTTTGGGAGGCTGAGGCAGGTGGATTATCTGAGTTCAGGAGTTCGAGACCAGCTGGCCAATATGGTGAAACCCCGTCTTTACTAAAAATACAAAAATTTGCTGGGCGTGGTTGTGCGTGACTGTAATCCCAGCTACTCTAGAGACTGAGGCAGGAGAATCGCTTGAACCTGGGAGGTGGAGGTTGCAGTGAGCCGTAATCGCGCCATTGCACTCCAGCCTGGGTGACAAGAACGAAACTGCATCTCAAAAAATAAAGAAAGAAAGAAAAAGAAAAAAGAAATGGCAGCCACTGGAACCACAATTTAGGGAGAAACCAAGAAGATTGAAGATTTAGAAAAGGAAAGAGTAGTGATGCTCACATGGTAAGAAATACCTGAACTCACTGAGAAATGCCCAGTGTAAGTGGCAAGTGAGGCCAAAATTGGCAAAAGTAGAAGCCCATGGTTGGCAATGAGGTTTGAGGGTTCATTGTCTAAGGCTTACGATTACTTAAGGAAAGGGCCCATCTCAGGATGGTATTTTCAACAGGTGGCCAGCAGGCAAGACAGCCAGCTCTCATTTCTTCTAGGGAGATTTAGGGCATTCAGTATTCATTTTGCTTGCTATATACTGATGTCCCTTTAATTTCTGTCTCATGGATATTGGTGTTAAGCTCAACGAAGCCATTTCCTTAAATCTTGCACACACACACACGCACACATGCACATGTATAGTCAGTGGAGATTGTGGAGCAGCAGCCTGTACAGTGGTTAAGAAGGTCACATCTAGATTTAGCATACAGAAGTGATCTCAGTTAAGATAATTTACTTTTTTGAATTTCAGTTTCTCTAACTGTAAAATGGAAATAAATAAGCTAAGCTCCCAAGATTGATATGAGGAATAAATGAGATACCATAGAAAGCTTCTAACATGCCACCTATACAGCAAATAAAAGTTACTCCTATTGATTAGTAGTATTACAATATTCATTCTTGTTTTATATGAAAATATTTTTTAGATAAAGCTCAGAGAGAGCTCACAATTTTGGAAGAGCAACTTCCCATGCTTAGAGTAACCTGGGAGAGAGGGCAGATGATCGAAAACATGACTAGACATGGAATAAGGACCCTTTGTCTTCTTTATTGCTTAAATAATGTATGGCCAGCATCCTGACTCCCTGCTTAAAAAAAAAAAAAAAAAAAAAAAAAATCATCTCCGTTTAATGATAGAGTGTTTGGGTGCTTAAGGCATTAGTACCACTGATTGAAGGGTTTGTTCTTATCATAAATGTCAAGATCCTGATTATTTTTTTCACCCTACATTTTTAACCTGCCTTTTGCCAAGGGGGAAGGACGCATATAGGACAAGAAAACAGAGTGAAAAGAAAAGAACAGAAAGAATTTTTCCTCTCAGTTGGTCTGAATTTTAATAAAAATTTCCTTGCTTTAACAGCAGTTTTGTTTGGTTGCTTTAATTTATTTCCCCCACTGAAATACATAATGAATTGCTACAAGTCCCCATGGTGAGCTCTGTTGCAGGGGGAGTCGCTCATTAGTTCATGTGAGGTCATGGGTATTTGTGTCTAATTTACATGGCAGATATTGCAAAGATTTCTCAAATTTGATAGAGACATCAACTCACAGTCATAGTGAGATGACTGCTGAACCACAGAAAGAAAGGAAACCTGCATTTGCTTTTGATTGTTTTCATGGCCACTTTTCATGTACACATACTCCAAAAATGACTCTGAAATCACAGAAGTAAACAAAACAATTTTAAAATACATTGAGAAATATTCTTGTACTATTGTCCTTTATATAAGGGAAGGGCCAAGAAGGACTGTGAAGAAATAGACCCTCCTTTTCCATAGAATC